CCCACCCTCCCCATTCCACTTTCCGATCAAACACCGTCACCGTTGCCGGCTCCGGCTACAGCTCCGGCGAGTTCGTCGGAATCTTCATCTTCTTCTAATACTAATTCACAGAGTTTTACTCAATGGAGATTTCCACTACCAAGTTCACCCCCAATTTCACACACTAACATTTACCCTCGAGAAACCATGCAAATTACTAAAATTGCCCCTCCTGTTTTGTACACTAATTTGGAGGAACTTTTCCACGTGGCAGAATTACAGCTCACTAGTTGTACTGATTTAGACAAGGTTTGTTCAATATAAATACTCACTCCGTCTTAATTTATATAATATTTTTCATATTCTGTCTTAATTTATGTGATATTTCGAGACTCAAATAAGTTTATAATCTTTAAAATACGTTGAATTTATTAATTATTGAGATTTATAAATGTTTTACGTAATTTTTAGATTTTATAACCAAGTTGAATTTGCTTTTTTCAAAATCACTTTTGAAACATTGATTAAGCATAAAAATAATGTTGAACATTTATATTTTTAAAAGTACGAGTTCAAAATTTAATATATTTTGAGATTTTAAGTGCTTTTTCGCTAAAAATATCCTTGCATGCGCCATGTTATGTTGAAAACATTGCACGTTCAGTAGAGTCTTCAGTAGAGTCTTGTTCATTATATTTTTATTGTTGATTTTGTATTTAAAATTTTTCAACAAGGTTAAGGCAATGTACTTGTTGGAACATTCACTTGTTCCGAATCCGGTGGCGGCGGTTGACGGTGGTGGAAATTCAGTGGCTTGCCCCGACACAGTGTTGAGAGGGGTAGTGGGGTGTTTAAAAGACAGGAGAGTAGCAAAATCAGCAAGTAAAGTTTTATTAGCACTTTGTTTGTCGGAAAATAACCGACACGTGGCGGTTGAGGTGGGAGCTGTCGGGGTAGTGGTGGACAGTTTGTCGGATTTGGACGTGGCGGCGGCGGAGAGGTCGTTAGCGGCGTTGGAATTGTTGTGTACGATGGCGGAAGGGGCGGAGGAGGTGAGGGACCACGCGTTGGCGGTGCCGATGATGGTGGAGGTTATGGGGAGGATGGACGGGAGTAGAGGGAAGGAATACGCGATAAGCGTTTTGGCAGTGATATATGGTGGCGCGTGTGATGGTGCACCGTTGGCGGCACCACCGGAAGAGGTGGCGCGTGCGGTTATGTTGGCTTTGCAAGGTGATTGTAGTGCTAGAGGGAGGAGAAAAGGGGCTCAACTTCTTAAGATCCTTCAAAATCACGGGCGACCCGACCCGACCCGGGATGAGGAAGAACCGGAGCCGGAGCCCCGAGTCGTTTGATCATGAACCTTTTTATTTAAATTTAATCAATAAGTATAATGCTTTGTTTTAGCAATTTTATTTCAGTTTTTAATTTGTGGTAATTAGTTTTAGAGTTTTATGTAAATATATAATATAAACGTACGTAAGAATTGAAATATTTATTTCTAGGAAATGTACTTTCTCGAGTAATACATTTTGATTGTAATATTATATTATTCAGACTTTTCAAAAATAATATTGTACTCACACGAATCTTTAAAAAATGTACTATTTTTGAGGAATTCATTAAGCACATACTGACATTTTTTGAAGAGTTCGAACTATATAATATATCTAATAGAAACCTTGATTTATTTATATATATATATATAGCAACATATCATGGAAATAAAAATTAGGTTAAACGAACAATTTTGCGCTCAAATGTGTTTATTTTCTCCATATTTACCAGAGCATTCTTTCTGTTTTGTCTATTTAAAAATTGAAGATCGATTTTATGATTCATTATACATATTTTTTTTAAAGTTATATGGTTCTTTTCATAGAAAATGGGTAAAACATAATAGTTAGCTAGCACATGAAGTGAAATTGCTTAACATGTTAAATTATAATTATTAATAAATTTTATTTTATATGCACTTGAATTTTCTTTAGAATTAATACTATATGATATATTAAATCAAATGAAACTTATATTAGATTTTGTGAAAAAAGATGTTGGATTTTTGTGACAGTTTCACGTGGGGGGGTGGGGTGGGTTGATAAAAATTGCAGTCAGTCAGTGAATATTATCAGTACTACTGAACATATTATTTTGTGTGTTTGTAGGTATCCATCATCAGTTTTTTTCCAAAAAAATGTTACAAAAACAGTCAAATTCTTAATGAATGTGATTTTATAATTTATAATATAAAAATAGCATGAATAAATCAGCTATTATAATTGTAATTTGTCAGATTAACACACTTTATTATTCTCTTTTGTATTTTATTTTATCTTTTAGGTTGATTTATGAAATTATACAGAATATATTATTGATCTAATTCATTCTTGTTGCGAAATTTAGTGTATGATAACGAGTTATATACTTGTCTAGTTTGTTCTCTATACTTACATATATTTTCTTATTTGGTTTGTGATATTGCTTGTATTTTTTTACAAAAATATATTCATAGAATAAATTATGAGAGCGATCTTAATAAAACTTAAAGGACGATAGTCTTCTGTCTCTAAGAAAAAACGCTCTGATCTCCTACGAGATTTTTTTCACAATTCTCATTACACATAGCTAAAATTAATCATGAGTACGATTGGTGGGTTGGTTGAAGAGGGGCCAATGAGGGTACTCTTCGATCACTCCATTTTTTTTCATATATATATATCGATCCAATAATAAAACCCATTAAGAGTTAGGTCTGGACAATATATATATATATGTTTAGTGCTTACAAAATCTCTATATATATAATTCAGTATTGAATTAGTCTTGTTAGGTTTCCCTTGGAGAAGGCTGCTCCAAGCCTCCAAACCCCATGAATCCCGTCTTGCCCTGCCTTGAACTAGAACTTGAAATCAGAACATATATATAACTATAAGAGAATGGTAAAATTCCCCTCATCTTTTTGCAAAAAGCCGCTTCATGGTGGTAAAGTCTCATCTTATTACGAGGAGATTTCGCAAAATTCTGTTTCCATCGAGAATTGAATTGACCTTTTTTGTATTTTGAAAAGAGAATCTAACATAGACACTTATGTGAATATACCGACAATTTTTTTTTAGACATGGCTATACTATATATATAGTTTGGGTAATTGTGATATTACATTTTGATTATTGTGATTGAACAAACAGTATCGTTTGCGTGGAAAAAATGCACATTATAATAATTAAGTATTTTTATATGTATAAAGCATGGATCATGTATGTTTTGGTAGTATTAATTTATATAACGATCTATATATCAAAATGAAACGTAACTGGAACGGAGTTTGTATTTTAATCCACTTAATTAATTCCTAATTTTTACACTATAGTACGTGTCTTAATTTCAAGCATATTAGAGGAACAACAAATTTTTCTACTTTGCTATATACGTCTTTATCACTAATTTAACTAGATGTTTGAGTTTTGAATTCAACTCGGATCTATATGATATGATGATCGATACACATAATTTATTAGAGGTGGATCTAAAATTTCAATTCTATGCAGGGGCGAAGCTAAGTGGGAGCAAGAGCAGAGTTTTGAAATTCATTTTGGTGAAAACTTAAACATTGTGTATTCAATGTTAAGATTTTTTGTTATGTATATATATATTATAGATGTTGATGTTGAACCTTATTGGCTTTTTCGCGTGTTTAGTTCATATATTTTAAACTTTCTTAGTAAAAATTATGGCTCCGCGCGCTACTAATTCCTTAATTTTAATATTCGAGTTTCTCAGATTGAACCCATTTATATGTATTAAAACCATGAATACATATCTACTACTTATTACAATTTTAATGAATTTTATACATAAATTATATTTATGTTGTGAACGATCTGGTACCGTAACACTAAATCCGCCTCTAAAACATATATATACGATTCACTTTCAAGATGTCTTGTAAAATACTCCTAATAAACACACGCATGTCGCATGAGACTCAAAATCTCATGCAATCGAATTTTTTTCAAGACATAATTAATATTGGAAATACTAATCATTATTATGATAATAAAAAGTGCTTTTCGATTTTATGAACCTTACGCGATATAAATAAATTTCGAATACCGAATAATTAAAAAAAAAAAATAGCAAGTGAATGGAATTTAGCAAGTACGTTTGCTCAGTTGCTTTATTCGTGACTTCGTACGTTTGCCCTAACCTGAGGTTGTCTTTTAACCAATTAAAAAGAAATATAAAAAATAAAAAAATCAAATTTATTAACCCACTCGCATATGAGAGCGCGTAGAAATACGATCTTTCAATCTCACACGCGCGTAGAAATGAATATGATGTGGATATCCACCCAATACGTTTGAGTTGTCCAAACACTAAACAATGAAAATTTATTAATTCCAAATTTACCCTTTAAATATTTTATCCTCATATCTCGATTGAATTGGTCCGATTAATTTAGATATGTGTCACGTAATAATATCATTAGACGTGGAAAACTCTACTAATTACGTTTGAGTTGTCCAATACTAAACTACGAAAAATCACTAATTCCAAATTTACCCTTTAAATGTTTTATCCTCATGTCTTGATTGAGTTGATCCGATTAATTTAGATTTGCATCACGTAATAATCCTTATACAGGGAAAACTCTCCTAATTATGTTTGAGTTGTCCAACACTAAACTATGAGAAATCATGAATTCCAAATTTACCCTTTAAATATGTTGTCATCATGTCTTGATTGAATCAGTCACATTCATTCAGATTTGTGTCACATAATAATCATTAGAAGGGAAAAACTCTTCTAAGTACGTTTGAGTTGTCCAAAACTAAACTATGAGAAATCACGAATCCAAATTTACACTTTAAATATGTTATTCTCATGTCTTGATTAAATCGGTCAGATTAATTCAAATTTGCGTCACCTAATAATCATTGAACGGGGAAAAGTCTCCTAGCTAATTACGTTTGAGTTTTCCAATACTTAACATTCCAATTTTACCCTTTAAATGTTTTATCCTCATGTCTTGATTGAGTTTATTCGATAAATTTAGATTCGCGTCACATAATAATTATTAGATGGGGAAAACTCTCCTAATTATGTTTGAGTTGTCCAACACTAAACTATGAAAATGCACTAATTCCAGATTTAACCTTTAAATATTTATCCTCATGTCTTGATTGAATCGGTCCGATTAATTCAAATTTATGTCAGGTAATAATCATTGGACCAAAAAAACTCTTCATATTAGGAATTTCTCTAATTTAGGATGAGAGCATGTTGGGACGAACCTAGTGCATCAGCTATATATGGTTTGTACGTGTCATAACTTTGGCTTTAACGTTGTATATTACAAATATAGATGGATATATTATAGTAGAGTTTCGAACTAAAATACATGAAGTTTAAATTTTGGATCTATTATGTGAACATAATAGATCGAATATTGAAATTGAGAACCAAATCGAATATTGAAGTTTTTGATAAAATATAATCAAATAGAAGAATCAACTTAGTTTTGTTTGATTTGACTTTTTTATTTTCAATATTTATTTTCACCCCCAAGTCAAGAATGAAGGAAACTTATTATCGATCTATCTCACTACAATTCTCGACGATAATTCTATTTTTGTATAACATTATATATATAATGAGATATTAAATATTAACGTTATTAGTATATTATATATATTCGTTATAATTGAAGAAAAATACTAAAGTAAGGATTGAGAAGTTAAGTTAATTAAAGAGATGAAATATGGTATCAAACTTTATTCTTTATAGTTTATACTAATCAAATAGTTTAATGAATTAAAATAATTTGAATTACAAATCTCAACGGATCTTTTTAATATTATGCTAGATTCGTGCATCCCTAAGAAAAAAAGGCTACTTTTTCATTTCAATTTACTATGAAGAAGTTTGCTGAGCACGGAATTTAAGAAAAGAAAGAATTGAAACTTATGACCATAAGTATATTATCAGATTTATGTTGCTGTAAAAGTACTCAATGTCAATAAAGATAAAAATGAAAAACTTAAAATTAAATTATCGTCAAATACGGATTTATGTCATTCTTTCTGAAATAGACTAATAAGGTAATGGACAAAGGGAGTACAAGCTTAGATTCAAAATTGAAGTATAATCAACTATACACCAATTTCAAACTAATTGGAATCGACTAAACAACAACATAACCGGTGTAGCCCCATAAAGTGAGTTCCGAGGAAGGTAGAGATATCTTATCCTAACTTATAGGGAAAGAGACTGTTTCTAATATATTGTCGACTCAAGGAAAATTATCTTAAAGTAGTCCAGAAAAAGAAGTAATAGAAGCACATGAAACAACAGATGATAACTAAAGAACAACACCTAGTAACATAACAGAAACAGTAACAAAACAATACAATAATCGAGGTACAAAGAAAATGGAGAATACCAAAAATCGTCAGGCAAGAAAGTACCGGAATAAACTATGACTACTAATATGAACGGACCGCAAGACTATATAGATGTATACCAGATTGAGGACAAAAGCTGTTTTTATATCTATTGAACATGCTTGAAACAGATAAAAGACAACACATTTCAAGCTTATTCTTTTTTTTACCACAAAAGCACAACAACTAAACACACAAGTTATGGAATAACATTCAAGTTTGTATCCAGACTAGTATAACAACACTATTCAAATTTCTGAACATTTTGATACATTTCTTATTATCATAGATAGTAATTTGCCCTCAAAAGTACTCTAACTGGTATACTAAATGAAATTATCCTGCTGGGAAACCAACCAGCATTAACCGCGTCTCACGAAGCTCTGTAACCATACAAAAAGCTGATATAACCAAGTATAAGTTAGGAGGTATGCTTTCAGCAGAACTAAGTCTCCACAACAACAACAACAGCAATATACGATTCATGGACTTCACAATGCACGGCCTGATGGTGGTAGTCTCCCAGCGCTTTCCTTTACAACTTTCCGCTGCTTTCGCTTATTATTCAAGTCAACATTGCGAGATCTCTCTCTTGATGAGCTCTTGCCGATTCTTGTATCCTTAATGGTCCTAGTGAAGGGGTTCCCTTCTTCTGGTACACTAAATTCAGCAGGGTTTTGATTAAGGCTGCAAACCAAAGTTTCACAGTTGCTTTTGACAGGTACAGCTCTAGCAGCAGTGTGGCCCTCCAAGTTGAAGAACTTTGAAGTATTACGATCCTGCTGTGGAGGCATCTGAGAACTTGATGTGCCTTGGTTTCTCTTTTGCCCGTCCTTGTCAAGACAAGGATCTCGAGTCATGGTCAGCGGGCCACTTGAAGACACAAAACTCTGTAATTTGCTTCCGCCACATTGCGAAGGAGCATAAGATTTTCTTGATTTCTCTTGTCCCCTAGGCTTGAAAGATATTTGATCTGTAAACTCAGCTTATTAGAGTTTGTTTCATTCGCACATGGAATAACAGATAGACCGATTTAAGTACAGGAAGTGAATGAAATATTCTAGAAAGTTGATGCTTACAGAAAAAGGAACAAAAATATTATCTTGAGTGCTAACCTGCATAATAACCACCAGGATGTACCCCAGGGGCCTCCTTCAAGGGATGATGTGATAAATATGAGCCATTGAGAATACTCTGCTTTCCATCTATATGAAACCTCGGGTGATAGCTGCAGGGTGAAAAAGGTTTCTCCAGGAGCTTGTTTGCATCAAGATTGAAAGGAGGAGTTGATGGCATCCTTCGGTCCATAAGGCTGAGTAACTGCATAGCTGGGATTGTCTCATTACAATAAGTATCTAAGGACCCCATACCTTTCACGTTTGAATCAGATTTGTGAAAAAGACCATGATGCTCATTCTGCATTCTCACATCACTACACTTTATGTCACTTATGGTCCTTCCCTTCTGAAGTGAGGCAGGTGCCTGTCCATGGATCATTTTATCATTTGGCTGACCGATGGATTTCTGTGGAATTCCAAGTCTCAATGGCTGCATGTTCTGCACAGTTGGAAACCATACAGGTTTTGCTCCTTCACCAGGTCTGATGTGCACGGAAGCAGAACCTTGCCCTCCACTGGGAAATTTCTGTTGAGTTTGTGGAGAAGTACCAAAGAGTTTGGTTGGTGGTCTTTCCATCCCTAGGTGGTTCCTCTTAACATGAGAGGTTTGGAGAGAACTTCCTCTGCTTGCTCCAACATCAGTCTTCTTATTCACATTAGCTGGACGGAAACTAGGTACACCATGTGACAACGCCACTGCTTCACTCTCATGTATTTCAGTATATGGCCTTGCAAAACCAGCAGTCCTTTCACTCATGCATTTGGTTCTGGTCTCAGTAAGACCTCTCTCGTACTGGTTCTTCGCCATTAACTCCACAATTTCCATTGGTATATCATCTGACAACCCTCGTTCTAAAGTCTTCTCAGAATGTTGATATCTGCGATGCTTAATTGCCTCTGAATGCTCTAGAAATTCATTAAGATTTTCTTTGTTATGCTGGCGAGGCGTTTCCTGCAAAGGGAAATGAAATTTCCATGAATACAAACAGTTACCTTGAAACTTGCATTAGTAAGTTGCATTGACTAACTCTACAACATTCATGAAACATCTCAAAAGAACAAGTGACACAATCACTGATTGAAATCATTTCACCCAAAACACCTATACAGAAGTGTTATATAACAACAACCAAGTAAACTCAGACTTGAATAATAAGCATAACCACACCAGTAAATGCAATGGTAATGTCTCTTAACATCCAGAGTGGTTATTCAGCTAATCACTTCAGTAGCTTCTTTTCAAGAACATAAAAGAAATGAAAGGAAAAATGGGATGTGGCTGTCTTAAGTGAATATAATTTCTTACCTTTTTCACACTGTAGTGATCTATGAAACTCAACTTTTCACATGAAGATGTTCTATCATCGAATAGGCAGTCCTCTAAGATATATCAAAGAAGTTTTCGAAACAGAAAACAGATCTAAGTTATCCTGCTGCCTTTTCCCAAAAATCTGTCAACCTCCCTCAATCCCATTTGTCAGATCAACAAAATCAATCTAAACTGTAAGGTAAAGCTCTTTCTGAAAATTGAGAGGCAAATAATAGTTTTTTTTTTGGGCTAATAAAAGACATTGTCTTTCTACAATATGGATTTCAAGTCTATTCTACATATCAGTGCAAATTTATTAACAATATTTTAGCTTTTCCATCATATAGATCTGAACAAAAGTAGTATAGGTATGTGAAAGGTAAAAATTTCTACAATGTGATTTTGAAGGCAATTTCAAATATCTCTGCAGGTCCTCACATGTAAAGAAAAACTACAATCATGAACTACAAAAGGTTTCAGCTTTACTGTATAGCTCGAGCAACCAAAGAAAAGAAATGTTTCTAAATCAACTCCACTTTATATGCATTTTTAGCCATTTCACATAGATCATTCGACCTCAGAGAAAATAATGGAGGGGGAGGGAGGAAACCAAATGATCGCAAACAAAAGGGAGGCTCAAAGTAAAACATAGAAATAAGCCAGTACCATTATCTCAGAAATTTGAAGATTCCCCTTCTGAAGTAGAATTGGAGAGCTTTGGATATCTTTCCACATAGATGCTGTCTGCGGAACTCCCTGGTTGAGGTCATATATCACTTCTTTCCTTGAAGATTGACCTGCTTCAGGAACGTTCGACTGTCTGACATAAGAATTATCTTTCCTTCGAGGAATATCACCATTCGATCCCTTCTGGAGAATGAATGGCCAGCTTGTCATATTTTTGCTTTGGGTAATATCATTCCCCGCATGTATGTCGGGATCTCTGAAGCTGTTCAAAGACAGGTCTAGCCCTACTTTAGCAGATAATTCACGTGCTGGCTGAAAGGTCATCATTTCGATACCACTGGTCACTGGTATGAGATGATTCCTCCTGGTTGAACTTTCCCCCGGGAAATTATTGTTAGGATGCATAAGAGTTGAGGGAACACGTCCAACTTCAGGAAACTTACTACTTTTCCAACACAAGCCAGAACCTCTACCTGTTCCTACCAATGACTGATAACTACTTAAATGAGGTTCAAATTTCCCACCCATGGAAGAATGTTGCACTGGATGAACGAGGCTATTAACAGCACTATATCCCTTTAAACCTCCATTTTCCATGGTTATATCCTGCCAGCGCATTTCAGGGGAATATCCATCGACAGGTCGAAACTGCTTATTTTTCTTTTTATTTATTCCATTTCTATGCTTGATTCGCAGATTTTTGTTACCATTCGGTATACCTTCTTCACCAGATTCCTTCTCATCTGAACGTGAATCAGCAGTTTCAACTGCTATGGAACTCCTCTCAACTCCTCCATTAGATGACCTGACCCTTTTACCAATGTTGCATTGTATTCCCATACCCGACAGATTGCTGTCAACTTCTTGAGGAATCTTCCTCTTCTTCTGAAAGTATCTCTTATCCTTTGGCATACCAACTGGTTCTAGTTCAGGAGGCACCACAGTCTTGGTACTCAATGAATTACGATCTGCTTTGGCAGGATTACTCTCCAAATTGACTTTTCCACCCAATATATCAGTCAACAGACGCACCTTTCGAGTTTTCCGGCGTGGTACATCATTTGGAACATCATTGTGTGAATCAAACTGTCTATTTTTAGCCATGAGTGGGTCGCTTCCTGGAGATATTCCATTCTGGTCTCTCAATTCAATGGAAGGTAACCTACTCAGTTTTGTTTTACTGGTTTCAAGAGCATTATCAGTAGTATCTGGTATATCAGATTGCTTAAAAGCTGTTGAGACTGTCCTCTGATCGTCATTTGGAGAACCCATTGCTGTCTCTGCACCAATATCAGGACTTACATCATCAGCACTTATGTAGAGATTTCCATGGGGAACAATTTTACCCTCTGACAGAGTTGATTCAGAGCTTGCAACTCGTATGACGTTGTTTGACAGATTAGCAGCTGTTTAAAACCAAAAGAGTTCTGGTTAATTTAAAGCAAAAAAAAAAAGCGTGTAAATTGAAGATCATAGGATATTGACAGTCACAAAAACTGCAATTGAATTACCAGGGCTCTTTCTATCTATTTCTTTGCTTGAGCAATGTTTAGCTATTGCTACCTCAATAGTTGGATATCTGATCTCCTCATTTCTAACATTTCCTGAACCAGTTCTGTTACCTGAAAAGTAATGTGGATTATAAACACATAGGCAGAATTTATTATCATTCTAAACTAATAGAAATACCCAAAATAAGTAACATAGAACATGAATTATAGAAGAAAATACCAGCTGAGACAGCTTTGTCTTCAACCATAGTGCACCTTCCTTTGTAAGGTTTACATAAGAAGTCATAGCCACTGGTATTGGCAGCATCAACGATAATAGCTTTCTTTTTGTCAACCTTTCGTGAAGTTGAATCATGCTTCATCTCTAACAATGCATTTGTTGTAGCATTTCTAGAAGAAACCATATTTGGAGAGATCAATCTACTTCTGCAGCTTGGAGGAAGAATCTCAATCTCTTCTCCTGAACTTTCTGTGCCAATCTCGCGCATGCAATTTTTGCATCGCCACCACCTAAATTTGGGAACATCCAGAGGAGGAGGAGGAAGTTGCTCCTCAGAAATACTGCGGTCACCGCTTGACGTAAAAGGTGCACAAATTCTCCGGTCTTTTTCTCTTTTCTCAGCAACATATCCACTGTGTCCAGCATAAGAAATGGAGTCAAGAAGATATCAAACCAAAAGAGATCAGAAAAGTCGTACGATAAGCCATGGAGAACATATGATTTGGTTATAAAGACTTGACAACATATGTATACACTGAGAAACATCTCAATTCATTGCTTGGTTTTACTCGATCCTCACAAGGCTTAAGACTGCAACTAATGGTAGAATTTTCGATGGAAACACAAATTTATCTGAAGAAAAACTTCTGAATAAGATTATAAGCACAAAACAAAAGTTTTTCATACATGACAATTAAAGTGACGTGCCACAATTCATCCAACATCGTAAAGCCAGCTATACATCATCACAAAATTTTCCGCACTCTCCTTTGATGCAACATATGAGTAATGCAATTATCAACCACGGATTGTATTGGTGTGGCATTTTTGAACTTTTAAGTCACTTTTCTATGCAAAAGGAAAAAGGAGATCACTTGTAGTAAGAATCCCGAGTATAGAATTCATGTTCTCGTTTATTGAACCAATATCTGCCATCAGATGCCTAGTCTATTTGTCTATCCAATACTACACAGGAGTAACCATAAGGTGACAATCAATAACCAACAATCAAGTGTCAAGACAAAAGAATCAGCTTCTAAACCAAGTGACCGAAGACAACATAAAGGGAAGGAGTATATATATCAGCAAGAGAAACTTAAGTAAGCAACATCCAAAGACAAATTATAGAGATTGGAGGCTCACCGTATAGAGAAATAATGTTGACATTTTCCTTCCTCTTTCTTCGGCATAGGAATATCAAGGTCTATAGATATTGATTCAATTTGTATGAACGATCCCAAGGCTTTAGGCACAGGAGTATTAGTATCACTTTTGTGATTATTTTCTTCCACTGCTTTGTTACTTTTCTCCATGTAAAAAGGAGAATAACTAAAAACCTACACAAGCAAAATTCAGTTCATAAACTCAAAGAAAAAGGATCATTGCAAACAGCTATCAGGTAGACAAAATATGTCCTTTAAGTGTTTCTGTACACTAAAAAAATTGGAACTTTATCATCAAACCATGCTTAAGGTAAGGCTCAAGTCAGGCACCAGAACATGATTATACCAAATGAGTTTAACATACATACATTCCCTGACAATGTTATATACCACCATGCCATCTTATAACTACAGGTAACCGTTCATAAAAAGTGGGACATATTAGTAATCTGAAAAGATAAGCAAAGGTACCTACTACAGCAGGTTAAAATTCAGAGTAAAATTCTTTAAATTATCAGTGTATACAACAACAACATACCCCACTATAATCCCACAAGTGGGATCTGGGGAGGGCAGGGTATATGTAGACCTTTCCGCTACCCCTGGAGGCAGAGACACTGTTTCCAAAAGACCCTAAGCTCAAAATTCTCCAAACCCTAGCCTCAAAAACAGCAACAATTTAATCATTTCACATCAAAATGCATTTCAATAACAGACATATATACCTAAGCTAAATTAAAAAAAATACACCAACATTAATCATATAATAAAGTTAAAATCATTTATATCCACCTCTATAGTTTTATAAAAATGCTCAACTCACAACCAACAAATAAACTAAACCCAAAAGCTATAAAGACAAAACCTTTATCAATAATTCCACAATTCACATAAAATACGCAAATTAGGGTTTTGTCAAAATGCACACCTCATACCCAATTCAATAAACTTGATCCAAAATCAATAAAGATCAAATCTTTATCAATAAATCAACAAATCATATAACATAAACACATACAAATCTAACAAATCAATCACACATAAACAAAATTAGGGTTTCAGCGTCGATACCTAAGTAAAGCATAAACAACAAAATAAATCCAACCCCACAGCTTTATTCACACCAAAATCAATAATTAACCAAAAAAAAAACCCAACAAGAACACAAAAATGAAAAAAAAAAAAACAAAAAACTGAATCTTGAAAAATGTACATCTGAACAAAATGATAATCAAGAATCAGCTAAAAAGTACAAAAAAACAATCAAAACTCAAAACCCCTATAACAAATCACCTCAAAAACAAAACCCAACTTCTAAAATCTCAAGATTTGAAGAAAAATCATACCTTTTTGCCCAAATCGATAAGAAAAACCCAGTTTTTCAACTTTCACGGATGATGAAAAAAATGCTATCTTTGCAAAGAAGAAACTGAAATGAGTCCAGATTTGCAAGAATCTTGAAGTGATTTTGATTATAAAGTGATGAATTCGAGCTGTGAAAATGAAACCGAAACCCTTAGGTTTGTAAGATGAAAATAAACATTTTTTCTAGAGAGATAAAATTTATTTATAGTGAGAGGAAAGTGAAGAAGAGTAAGTGAGAGAGAGAGAGTAAGGGCTTTATATTTCTTTCTTTAAATTAAATAAAACCAATTTATTTCTTGTTGTAATAAATACACACACATTGCGTGTATCTAACTCTTTTTTTAATTTTTTTGTATGTATAAAAAAATCGATAAAAAAAACCCTAGTCAAGCGAATACTATACACGCACTTGAAGTGAGTGTGGGATTGTTTGTTGATGTCCTTGTCGGAAGACAGGTGGCAAGCACTTATGTGTGATTTGAGTGGTTCGTGATGACGCGATTATGTTCGGCGCGTCGATGACGGGAATATCGAGGAAAGAAAGAAACCCTAAATATTATTGTGGGGATAACCCTAAGTTTTTTTTAATTTTTATTTATTTCGAAAGATGATATAATAAAAATAATAATAATAATGTATTGAATAGGAAAGGGAACAACTTGTTATAAACGTAAGGCACAAAATAGAACATGTAAGAAGTGGGACCCTCATATAAAAAAAGATGATTATTTAAGTTTTTGGAAGTATATATTATTTTTATCATATAGAGTAGTATATATATTTTGGTGAATCATCTGTTTATTTTGTTTAACATAATGGCAATTTTGTATGAAAGAGCTTAGAGATCGAGTTAGCGGAGAAACGGAGTTTAATTCATCGCGATAGAAGTTCACCTAAGTCTAAAAAATGAATTGTCATATCAAAGAATAGATAAGTAAATCAAAGTTAAATTTGATGGATTAATTCAATTTTTCAAGTTTTGGAATTGTATCTATTAAGTTTGTTTGTATTGAGGACTTATGTTGAATCAATATAACTATACATTTCTTTCTTGTTATACGATTTTTATGAGACTATGTTTGGCAAATGAGTCGACTATTTGAGACGTTATATTATTGTCTTGGGTGATGGCTCATTCATATTCATTACAACAATGTTGATTGCCTCATGAATAGGTATATATTTTTTCTTTTAGATATTTTGTAATTTGTGGTCTAGTTGGACAATCTTACTTCAAATACAGGGGTTGCTAAAAAAGCAGAGTTCGAGAAACAGAGTTGATTGTGTGAAAAATCTTCAAGTAGTTATGCATAAACATTCTAAATTGCTAAACAGAGCACCCACTCTGCAATCCGCATAAATTAGGTATACACATGCATTCCACCACCCTGTTTTAGTGAAAGATCACACTATTTAATTTGTCCCCTGCATTGCTAAACAGAGCACCTACTCTGCCGCTACCCTGTTTTAGTAAAGAAGCGCACTATTTAATTTATCCCTGCATTGCTAAACAGAGCACCTACTCTGCCGCCGCCCTGTTTTAGTAAAGAAGCGCACTATTTAATTTGTCCTGCATTGCTAAACAGAGCACCTACTCTGCGACTACTCTATTTTAGTGGAGGGACACACTTATTTACATTCATTAATGATTTGATAAGGACTTCACTATCGATTGATGGATATCAAATGGTTATTCATCATGTACCTTTATCCTTGGAGGCTAAAGTAGATCATACCACTTTACTTATATGTTTTATCGCATGAATTTTTTTGTCTCCAACTAACGCAATTTAAATAAAATTTACATATTCAAATAAAACGTATTTGTATATGTGTAATATTTACGCTTCATGTAGATTTGGACGAACTCATATATATAATCAATGGATATTAAACTTTTTGTTAACGTACTGTATAAAATAAGTTTGTAAATATTTTGTGCATGCATCGATCGATTGTTGTCACGTTAACTTAGTATTTTCCTTTCGAAGAAATTATAGAAATATTAGTGGTAAATAAAAACATGAAGTGTCAATATATATATAGGAACGATAATCTTTTGAACATTAACAAAAAAAATCAAGACCAGTTGCAATAAAAATTTCCACTCACGATATTCCGTCTCCGTATTAGAGTTCAATGTTTGGTTTCTTCGCGTCACGAAGTTCCACGATGGGGTAAAACGTTCCCAATAAAGACAATTCTAGAGTTCGATTAAGTCTGGATTAATCTTTGCGTCATGAAGTTCCACATTGAAGTAAAATGCTCCCAACAAAGACAAATCTAGAGTTCGATTAAGTCTGATTTTTTTGTGTCACGAAATTCCACATTAGAATAAAGCACCAACAAAGACACTTCACGTCACGAAGTTCCACTTTGAAGTAAAATGCTCCCAACAAAGACAATTCTAATCTGTATCCAAAAAGATTTGAACTCGAAATGTTTATTAAGGATAAAAAAGGATCCGTTATAATACATCATACTTTCATTTCTTGTTTTTGGCTCTTGTTCACGGAACCTTAATTATTACTATATATTAATTTAATATCGTTCATAAACATAAAATTCTGAATATGCTTATGTCTGAATATTATTTTGTGTGCATGTAAGTGTAGTGTACGTGTACGTTAGGTTTTGGAACATATAATTTTCCGTTTATTTCGTAGAAAAACTGCGTTATTATTTAATTTCCTATATGAAATTAATATAAATCATTTATTACAAATTGTTTCTAAAATAGATAATAAATAAAGTGAATAATATACATTTTATTCACGAATAAGAATCAGATTCTATATAAAGTAATTATTTTAAAGCTTTATCTACATATATATGCTCTTAGTCTTTGACCTAGTTTTTAATTATATGAAGTGACATATTATATATTACCAACATTATTGCAAGACGATTACTTTTTTCTCCATATATTAAGAAAAGACGATTTTGTTTTTCTATATTTTACTTTTAGTATTAATTATTTATTTCTCAAATCATTTTATTTCAAAACCTAATATTAAACATTAATTAATTGGGGTCATCCTGCACTTGGAAGAAGAAGTAGAAAAAAAATATATATAGTGATAACTTGATTCTTCATCGGCGTGGTAAATAAGAATTTTTTTTTGTAATTCTTCGTTTTCTACAAAAAGCTTTACAAACAAATTAAAAATAGGAGTAAATTTGTGATATGCTCACTAAAAAAACACTCTTTGTATTTATGAGCGAACGACGCGAATCAAATATATAATGTTTACGAATTATGAGCGAACGACAGGAATCGAACCCGCGCATGGTGATTCACAATGTATTGCCTTAAACCACTAGATTGTATCCGCCCTCGCCTACTTACATTCCATTTTTACACTATTTAAATTCAAAAATAAAAGATTGTTATCAAATAGTTATATCAATTATTATTTTCTTAAATAAACTCATCAAGTGCAAATATAACAAGTATAAAGTGAACGGAAGGAGTATTACAAGACCCCTAAAAAAGGTCCCAATCACTAATGATGTATAGGAGTACTATTCTTTTACTCTGGACAAAAAAAACCAATGATGTATGAAAAACAAGACTACTATTCTTTTAATTAATTAAGGAGCTACGATATGTTGATCGAAACATCACATTTGAAATACAAATTCAGATTTAATCAAATCTTAACCTAGAATGTAACGCGACATCGGGTGGGACCAAAGAACAAAATTTTATCAGGATCGTAACGTAACTATACTCCATCTGATTCAATTGTTATTTCAATATCAATAGAACTTTTTAGAACAAAGCTTTTCTCACCAATCAATATAATTGCTAACATTCAATATTTTATCTAAAAAAAGAAGAAAAAAAAAAGTTACTCGGACACGGAGTTCAAGAAAAATGAACATCTTGAGGTCTAAAATAAGCTAAAGAAATTCTTGTCATGACTTTAAATTAATCATCCAATAGTTTAAAGTGATGACATAGTGTTATTATAGTACGGACTATATTACTAATTTTTTATAAAAGATATATCGTGTGTTGTTATTTTGAAATTAACTAAAAAGAAAAAATAATCAGTAGATAAAGTAAAACATAGTGATGAGAACAAAACTATCAAAATCTTTATTCAAAAAATAATAAATTAAAGATCTTAAATGAGAATCCAAATAAGCTTATTTTTCTTCTTGACATAATTAATTAATTACCATTTTCTTTTACATCTCTTAGTTATAATATAAAATAATCATGAATTAGGTCAAATTAATTATGATCAATCGTACACCATAGAAAATAGGTAGATCAACATGCAAAAATTATATTGCACGTGATCATAAACTAAATTTGGAAACTATATAATAGGTAACTAAAAAAATCATGCAATATATATTTTTCAAGTTAATTTCAACAATATAAAATTATACCATCTTTGAATATTTCTTTTCTAACTAACGTACAATTTCAACTTTCCACTACTAACCAAACGTATTTACCATTTTTATTATGCATGAGAATTTGGTGGAACCCATCGTCGATCGACACCGCGCCTTAAGTAAGCCGTGTACATTTTAAATATATGTATAGGGTCCTCATTGTATCATTTTGACGGGAAATAAAAAGTCGTACCTAACTTTATATGTTTGTCGATGAGTTCACATGAGAATTTTAGTGGTTCATATTAATGTAATGGATGTTTTTTTTTTACGTTTTTTATTTTCTTTAATCTCAACAACGTCAATAATATAGAGAATTACCTACTTTCGAGTCAATCTCACACCGTAACAAAAAGCCAATTTTTAGCGTCAATAAATATACATTAATAAAGAGTATTAAAGTTGTTACCGACATCAGTTAATTAGTTCTAATGTTGCTATAGGCTTTAAGCACATTTACAAAGAGCGTTAATTGTCACTAAAAATATATTTTTAACGAAAATAAATCTATTGCCACTAAAAAAATATTTTTAACGGAAATTAAGCTATTGCGTTAATTATTGCCACTAGAGTTGGTGTAGTGTCATCTAATTCATGAAAGCTGGAAACAAAATTAAGAAAGAAATTTTTAATTCTAAATGTATATTTTATCGGTGAAACTTGTAATATAGTAATCTATTTGATTTATTACAAAACTGATTTATTAATATTAATAATGATCAGATTGTTCGAACATTTTCTGCTAAAGTAGCTGCTATTATTTTCTATTTAGCTTTAGAGGCCACCAAAAAAAGC